CAAAAGAGACGCAGGAATTGTCAAAGTGTCAGCTCCGCTGGAATTTGTCGGGTGACTTCATAACGAACAAATTTCTCAAGGATGCTACAGGATATGACTGGGAGGAACCCTGATTACTATCCGACCGAGGATAAGCGCGCTTCCTGAAAAATTATCCAGCGCGTCGAAAGCAAAAGTTTCTTTTTAAAATTAGTGTCCAGGTGGACGAAGTTATACGATGTTTTACAACACGCTCGTGCCAGTCAATGTCTGGAAAACAAGAAATACACATTTTGTCAAAGAGGATTCATAGAGAAAAACGAGCCATTTTTCTTAGAAAGTTTCGCCAAGTCGATTGAAGCGGTGACATTCTTTCATTTGTGATTTTTGATTTGCGTCTTTCTTTCTCTTAACGTTTTTCTTTCTCAGATCGGTTTTTACTTCGTAGCGAACATGTATGGAGAAGAAAAGATCAGAGTATAGTCAGGGGTTCCAAAATATCACAGTATTATACAAAACTTGGAAAGCGGAAAAACGGAAAGTGGAACATGGGTCTAATTTCGATGAGGAATCGAACTTTCAGGAAATCGAGTTTTTTCAAATCAGTCGAGAGCCGAAGCAATGCTTAGTCTGCGTGCGTTTTTAATACATTTTACATATAAGCCGCAATATGAGCTGGTTCTTGCAATTACGAATTGCAAGAGGAACCGGAAGTTGAAAGCAGAAGCTTTGAAGCCGGCGAAATATACATTGAAAAGCGGAGAATTCCTGTGCCGAAAATGTTCATCGGTATAATCAGAGCAAAACTTTTTACCTCGCTAATTATACGGCTGTAATGGGATTATAATTGAAATATGAGCAATGGGGAGCGCTACATGTGTAATAATTTGATCGTTAAGGCCAATAACGACTGAAAATTATGTTATTCGCCAGTGCGCCGTAGATGGCAACTTGGTGTATGGCGGGGAGAAAGATTTCCGTAGGAAGGAGTTTTTCATGGATTTACCTCAATGACAAGTGTGACCACCACCTGGTCTCTGCAGCTGCAGAAGGATGTAATAAGTATAGAAGAAGAAGCGGCATTGAGCGAGCGACAGAATGCCTCCATGTGGGCGGAGCTGCAAAAAGTGAAGGCGCGCGCCACGATGGCGTGATTGTGTGTTGCCCCTGAGGGTGGTCGGCGGCCACACAACGGGCGCCGACGAGAGTGCGGTGGACGTAGCGCAGCCACATTACACAGTGACTGCGGCGCCCTCGCTATCACGTACACGCTCCGCTATAGATGTGTGTGTAGATTTGTGTGTGCATGTGTATATGCGTGTGCGTATGCGCACCCGATTCGAGACAATGTATTATCACTATCATTATCATCGATCGCGTCGACCTCGATCGGTCGCATGGCTGCAACCGGGTAGTCGGTGGGTAACCGTTTCCCGTCGCCTGCACCTCACCGCCCCACTTCATATTGTCGCGGAGCCACTCTTAGTAGTGGTGAACGTTCACCGAGGAATAAGTAGGAGAGCAAAAAGGCTTATTCGATAACGCACAAGGAGCAAACTTTTCCTTAAAGCGAGAGATTACGATAAAGTGCGTATGCAGCGTGGAAGTACATGCACCATTGGAAGCAGTAGTCAGGGGCCCAAGGAAACGAAATGTTGCGTTTTTGTGGTCAAAGGTGCGCTAGTTGCAGCGTACAAGGCTTGCCATTCCTTTCTGAGCCCCGCCACGGTCTGTGCTCCGCCCCCAGCAGCAGCGCCCTTCGATTGCCAATGTGACGAGATATTCCACTTCCAGAGTGTATCCTATAACTTTTCATGGGATGCGTGATCAATCAAAGCATGATGCTTGCTGAAATGATAGAGGCTATCAGCATAACATGTGCAAACGACCTCCTAATTGGTTGCTAGCTCGTCCATTATCGGAGGTCAACGGGCAAAGAAAGGGGTCCCATTTTGCGCCTTCTTGACGGATTTCTTTGCTTTTTTCGCCACTGGGGCATTATTCAGCATCTCCACTTCCACTATGAACCCAGTCCAAACTTATCGTAATCCCTCGCTTTAAACGAAGTGGCGCCTTTGATGGAGGTCTCACGGCAGAGTACCTCTAGAACTCCGTATTAAAACAATGAATACCTGGTTCACTGCCTTCAGCGTCTAAGAATATGAATCTATCCCTCGACGCCTTTGACAAGATGGCCTGCAGTGCGGCTCCAGACTGAAGTAACCACCCAATTGTTCAGTCGATTCAGTTGTGTACTCCTGGAAATAGTGGCTTTCACTTTGCAGGACCTCTGCCAGTCTGCATTCCAGACAAGTATAAGATAATGATCCACTAATTGTAAGGCCCTCGTTGAAGTCGAACCCTTCACCATACTCTCCTTGTAGAATTTTGTGAATTGCTCGAGGAGAGCTAACGAGGATTGCCTAGCGCGAAGTGCGTTCAATGAAAGGTCGAAGGAAACGGGCTCCGATTGTTTGAGTGCTGTTGTTGCTATCATCGTATTTCACGCATCGTATTAAGCGGCCGTGTCTTAAACTTGGGCGGAAGTGGTGTAGTGGCAAGTGGCACGCTTACCACGCGAGCGGTCCGGGGATCAAATCCTGGGTCGTGAGTCGCCCGGGCCAACCAAGCCTTCCATCCCTCCGGGGTCGGTTAATTGGTACCAGACTTGTCTGGGAGGATAAAAACACTGACTTGTACATCGGCTGGCCCCCGCAAGTCATTGTATAGGCCACATCGCATTCAAACGCCACTACGAATGTACAAATGGAAGTAGAATGCGTGCCGCATCCCAAAAAGGGATTGATCAACGGCATGCTTTATCCTTTTTCTATTTATCTAGAAGTTTTCTTGGTAATGCTTCATCAAGGAAAGGGTGATGTTTGTTGGCATGATGCCGGCTATCGGGATTAACACTGGCGAGCTGGCTTGGCTCTACCGTTTGTCCAGAGCGGAATCACAGTGGTCAGAAGGGTCTGTTTTTGCGGGATTAGACCCATTTCTTTCGAATTCTCCACTGGTGAGAGCACGCTCTACCACCTCTGCTTCCTCCAGTAGACTACAATTTTTTAATTTTTCATTTCATTTGTTCATTTACTGCTCGCTTAGGTGTGCTATGCTAAGTCACGTAACACATAAATAGGAATTAGTGAATACAGAACGCAAACCAAGTAAGCTATTTAGCAGCACTTTAGAGAGGATTCTCCAGGAAGAACTCAAAAATGAAGAAAGCCGACAGAAAGCCAAGGCAAGAGGTTATCGTAGGCCCAATTCAAGCCGTACTTCGACGAAAACTGTGTCTAGCATTTGTTGGCCAGTAACTGGGGTCAGCGAGCGAACGATGCTATGGAGAACGTCACTCATGGGCGAGCTTGAAGCATACGTATGGTCAGAAACTGAGTTCCCGAATGTTGGGGTTCCCCACCCCTATCATTTCAGTTTCTGACCAGCCATTATAGGAACCCCAACCTTATGGTCAATGCTACTCTTGACTAGACTTACTTGTTGGCATGAACTTCTTGGTAAAGGATACAGTCTGAAGAAACTCCTTATTAAGCCTGAGAACAAATTCAAGGCAAGTAATAGATAAAGCAGAGAAATAAACAAAATAAACAGGAACAGTGCGCGGGTTCAGTTCCATGTGTCGTCAGCTTACGCCTAAGGCCTTCTAGTGAGGCAAGTATGCATCTCATTAACTCTCCAATTTTGTACAAGATTTCAATGCTCGAAACGTTCCAAGAGGCAGGGCACTTCTTGAAAGAAAACAGAGCAGAACAGTGCAAAGCGAATTTTTTTAATTTTTGAGTCACTCTGCCCGGAAAGCAGATGAAAGACACACCCGGCTTGTGGGCGCATTTGCTAACCTCAACCGATCTCTTACATTATTCCAATCGAAGCCGCACTCTGGTACATTCACAGCGTCTCGAATGGTATCAAAGGATTCCTGCCCAGTAATCGAACGCGATTTTCTATCGCTGCAGCAACTGCCGGAACTCAACCGCGCCTACTTCTCTAATCGTTAGAGGAAGCTGAGAAGCACCTTAGGCTCATAGTTACTCATACGCTGTTTAAGAGATACGGTAAATTTTGCTCGAAACATTCCACAACATCGCACCACATTCTGGCATGCGGAACAACCTGAGACGAAATTTTACGATCGACTGTAATACATTTGTAGGCAAAGTGAAACTAATAATACAGTACCGGTTCCATTTTTGCCGGACACCAAAAGAATAGGTCAGGACAACAGGTGACGCCCTACACCACTTAGTCATTTCTGTGATATTTTTGTCAATGGAATACCTGTTTGTCTGACTAATAGGGGAAGTAATCACTTGTAATCGAACGTGGTGGTTGTGTGACGCATAGATTAGACGTTGAGCGAAAGTGAAATAGGTTAATTTTTGTGCTATGGGACGACCTTGTGGAGAGAGAGGCGCCGCACCTTAACTGACCGAGTAGCCAAGATCGAATCCAGCTCGAGCCCAGGCCATTAGCTGCGTCGCTTGAGCGGTACCGATTTTTATTAGAAAACGAAGATTACTGAACTTTTACTTATCACTCTTACTTATTAGTCCACTTATCAGCAGACCCTGCGATTGGCGGCACCAGCGCTAGCAGAGGAAGAAGACTGGGTTATGAGCAAAACTTCGAACTTTAGCTTCAACATCAACAAACCTCGGGTAGAACTCGTACCGCCTGGGGCGAAAGTTCTTCTCATAGCACAATACTTTGTGAAATAGTCGCGACGCGAACTGCTGCATTAACAGCAGGTAACTAACAAGACAAGACAAAGGTCTTGATCGTGACGAAACGATTCCGTAAAGAACACAAATACGTGGCGTATCCTGCCGAAATGCTAAACGCGAACACTTTATTGTTACAAATTCACACGGCATAAAATTCGTTCACGCACACGAATGTAAAATGGTACACAAGCTGATGAAAAAAAGAATCTTACAGATGGACTAGACAGGTAAAAAGGGTGAATCACAGTCAATTTTTAGATAACTTCTGAAATGTTAATTACGGTTAGTGAGCCCTAAATAAGATGTACAGTACAGAAGCGGTTCATGAAGATATCGCGAGCGGTCTCCCAAGGCCCAATAGAATACTGTGGCGGCGAACACAATCAAGCCGATGGCGACACCGATACCATCGTTGGTCGTGATTTCTGGCCCATCCTCGATCTGCCAGTCCTCGTCGAACTTTTCTTTCTCCTCCTTATCATCTCTTGTAACTAAAGCTAATACTTTTCATTTTCGCTATAATTCTATGTACCATTACAACACACTTCTTTCTTCCACACGTCTCTCAGCAGCCTTTTCGTCCTCCTCTGATGGCAGCACAACCGTTTCTTGAGGTCGTCCAATAGGGAATTTGAAAGGCAGGAGTTGTAACTGCAAACTTTTGAGTATATAAAAGAGTAAGGATTAGGACTCTCCAGTAACTTACGGTCATAATCCTCGCAAGATTCTCGAAGTCTGGAGGCGCTACAGGATTTCCTTGCCAATCCAGAAGTTGGTAACGGAGAGTCCGTATCTGAATGTGGGTGGTAAAGCGTAAGGCAGAAAGCGGTTCGAGCCCGGTATGGATAGAATTCTAGCCTTCGACATCTGGAGATCTCTGGAGGAACTTCCAGAGGTATTTTGCTGATTGAGACTAATTGGACATTAACGAGCTATGCTCCTCACCTCGCCATCGATGATTAATGCAGCTTCCACTGGTTCAGCTATGTTCTTCGGCGTTTTTGGTGCTGGCGGAAGTCGCACCGTCACTGGGTCAGACTTGCCATACCTCGCCTTTTCAGGGTTGTTGTTAGAGTTGGGCACTCGATTGACCTTGGTTGGATCCTGGCTCGGTTCCGTGGTTTGCTGAACGCTTCTTTCAGGAACGGTCGTAATTGTAGTGGATGCACGAGATGGAGTCTGAAAACAAGGGATCACGAGAAGAAAAAACTTAACTGACGTGAGAATTACCTTTCCGACGGAGAGCGGACCAGAGGAGTTGGAAGGCCGAGGCTGAAAAAACAGGAAACTCATTCAAGAAGGGCAGTAGAAAGGGACAGTAATATTTGAGGTCTCCATAGTGAAGGCATCCGTTGAAGTTGTTCCCCAGCTCGCCTTCCCTTCACAACGGCAGGAAAACCTGAGCGCATCTGGGGTCTACGCAACGAATCACGACCACTGGCGTTCAAATTTGTCAGCCTAACAGGCAATGGTAGCTTGTATAGCCAACCACTAGGCTGGATCCAAACCTCTATAGGCCACCAAACATGGCATATAAGTTGCAAATCAGTGCAGTACCTTCTGTCGACAACCTTCCGGCAAGATCCAATCGAGAGCTTTTTCGAATCCACGATCTTCACCACGCATTACCGCTGAGAGTAAACTGTCGAGCAGATTCTTCTCGCCAATTCGGCATTTACTATCTATCTTGTTCTTGAAACAGGTCAGTAGACATCGTGTGGAGCTGCAACGAAGAAGAATATATGGAGTAGAAAAAGTTTGAAAAAAAGTCACTTGGAACAACGGTTTCACACACCGACGATTACCCTGATATCAAATAGGGTGAGTCAAGCGTCGAGGAAGCCTGGTTCAGACTACCTTTTTTCGAGTAAAAGCAGCTGTAGCGGTTACTTGAGGGTGGTGCTGTTCTGATGACGTCATTGCTAGACTAGGCTTCTCAGCCAGGGAATAAGGTTGAAGAAGTCCTAGTCTATGACCATGTACTGCGTGAGAATAATGTCGAGAGTGAATCTACGCGCAGGAGACCTGAACACGCGGAAATCGTCGAACAGTCGTCGACGAATCGACCGATTATCACCCAGCTCTCAGCGTGCTGGAAGGGAATAGTGGTGGCAGCGGTAGGGGGTTGCGGAGGAGAGCACGGTTGAAACCGCCTCTTAGAGCCTTCCCTGTAATGACGGACAAGGGTGACATCTAGACCACATCAACACTCGGTCATCGTGATCGCTGCCTTTGAGGTTCCACAATTCATCTACGTCTGCACACTCTACTCCTAGCCTTCTCCCATCCTCTTCTATTCTGCCTAACCTATATCCGATTTTCCATGACAAAGCCCGCCAAGCGGTAAGAAGGTCACACTACAGTAGACATTGGAAAAATGAGAATTCCCGCGTTAGTGGCTACAATGAAAAGTGCTTGATATTGGTTCATCTAGATAATCGATTTAGATTTTGGCTTTAGTTTTCAATCGAACATGTGTGCTGTAGCAGTTCCACACTGGCTTAACGGCCTGAATGATGAAGAAGAGCTTCAAGTCAGGCTTCAGCTTTAAGTCCTCAAGCTTCAAGCCACTGATCAATACACTGAAAAACACAACCACTTAGCCCATTAAACCTTCTTGAAACCACAACCCTGGATTAACATTCGACTCCATTTACACAATTTTCATACTAGAGCCTCAGAGCTCAGAATCAGCTAGCGGCAGGAATTATAATTTC